TAGTTTGATTTGTAAGGGTTAGTTGTGTTTTTACTAGTTGATATATATTGGTAATTAACCAATCAGGAACCTATTACTACCCAACAAATATGCCGAAGAATATGGGGATGGGTTGGACACACTGTGGGGAAACCGTTGAGTGACGTCATGCGCCAGACCCTCGATTGGAACCCGAATGGGAAATGACAATTTACGGGTAGGTCTGAGGGTGACATGAAGGAGATGAGAGCCCATTGGAGATCCGAAAGCCAACTAAAAGGGCCTGAAGAGAACAGGGCGGAACGGATATGTGTTCCAAAGGCCGTATGTTCCACACGGAAATCATGGGTATGTGTATAATTAATCTTAGTTCCTCAGTATGAGGTGAATTCTGCGTTATCATGCAGGTGAATTTGTAAAGATAACGAAACGCACGCACATTTTCGGTTTCGACAAGTCTGAATTATAAAGACAGCCACCGTCGTGGCCTAGTGAATCATTCTTTGGCGTTGGGAACGGCAGTGCAGGGTTCGAGTTTCTGGGGGAATGTCATCACTCACTGGGAGTGCAGGTACATATATGCTACTGACGAGCTCCACTCGAATAGGATAAAAAACACATCCTGAGTTCCACTGCTAGTCGCCATCAACACCGAAGTAAAATCAGGTTAATCTTCAAACTTCGTTGCTGTGTTCACACTAGGAGCCAACATGTTAAAAGAGAGACCAGGCATTTCCGTGCAACATAACCAATCAACTGGAATCGCAAATTAACCTAAACAACAATTGAAAAAGCATTGTTTGTTTAGATAACGCTTATCACTTTTGTGTCGGTTTTATCATTTCATGGGTAACAAGGTGTGTGTGTGTGTCAGGGCCAAGTCGGATTCTCTCCTAATCCGTCATCCTTATTCATTAGACATTTTGGATTTCAATTTAATGTGGAGTCCAGCTGATACAAAGTGTTCCTTGTGATTTTTGAAGTTTTTGGTGAATGGTTTTCATACGGAAATTAATCTTGTGACCTGATTCTTTGCTGTATAGACCTATGACCGAAGATTTATATTATTACTACTCCTTTGGTTTCCGAGTGGAACGTAGGGCTTCAGCAGCACATCTACATTACATACTACCTTTTTTATTCCTCTTTAACTGGCTCCACCATTGACCTTAAAGTTTCATTTCTCCCTCACATGGTCTCCTTCATGTCAAACTCGCAGCCACGCCCAGCTGGTTTCCTATTGGAGTCCCACTTGAAGGCCTGTCTTGTATGTGATGTCAACCTATTCATCTTTGTCATATCTGTCAAGCATTAGGTTCTTGATTGATTTGTCGCCAGAGTTTTTTGTTGCTAATACTTTGTGGCCATCTAATCTTCAATATGGAGCCAATGAAGGCATCTGTTGATGAAAGTTTGTAGTGCCAGGCTGTTGGAACTACTTTTGGTGACATGACCGCCAATTTCATCAATATCAGTGAGATACTTACTAGCAACTTGCTCTATTTAGATAGGTAGTTACCTGGGTTCTAGTGAGAAATCGTGACCAGTGGAGTACAGCAGGTTGGGTGTGAGGACAAATACTCACTAGTGATATTCGCTAGTGGTCGCGCCGTATCATGAATTGGCAGAAGTTGGGATTCATGAACTGAACGATTGGATCGGGTCCAGATGGCATAATGGTCTTCAAGCTTCCCTTGTAACCAGAAGGTCATTAGTCTGAACCTTAGTGGATGTGTAGTGATGAAGAGTCCTAAACTGGGACGAAACAGTTGTCCAGTACTCTATGGTTTTCCAATGCTTGTCTGACAGATTTCAGCTGATGATGAAATCCTGTAACTAAGTAGAAGAACTGACTTAACACTGGATATATATATATATATCGATTAGGCCTATCTACTCTTTCAAATGAAGTTTTACTGACAGTCAACTTTACTTATCCCCATAAGATGACTTAGTTAAAAATTAAAAGAATTCCCTGCTATTGTTCAAAAGTCGTTTTTATAAAACTGTTTCTATCTTCTATCCATGGTTATTTATTTGTTTGTTTTCAGTTAACTGTGACCGTAGTGTATATCATTTTTTGTTTGAAATGCGATCAAATATTTACATCACGTGTTTCATTTCCTTTTGGTCGTCATTATTATTATTGTTTAAAAAATAATTTATGTATTCTTTATTCTATCACAAGTGTATCTTTTTTGTTTGTCTTATATATACATCTATCTGTCTATCTTTTGTTTACTCCTTTCTGGGACTGATGTTGTTGTTATTGTTGTTGTGATTTGCGACGTTTAGAGCGGGGGAAGCAGGTGGTGATGGAAGGGAATCTATGCTTTTTATGCTAATTAGTTTCAGCATTCTGTAAACGGAAATCCATCTTTCAATTATTTCACTGTGCTTGATCTCACTCATATCTACATTGTGTTGTTTATATTTATATTTGGTTTAGGTGTTTGTCGTGTAAAATTATTCACACCGTTAAATAATAACATGTCACAAAATGAGGATGATGATAACATCATCACTCACTGAGAAATGCAGGTACATCCAGATGACGAGTCCCAAATAGGACGAAATGCGCATTCTGGATTTCATTGCTAGTCACCATCCACTAATTAAATAATAATAATAATAATAATAATTAGCTTTCAAAACGATGGTTACTGAACAAAGAATACTCTTTCCTATAACCCCTTCGTCATCAGGCTCTACAGTTATATATGCATTATAGTGAGTGAATGAATGAATGAATTAGTGTTATGAACAACATTAATGTTGCTGTTTAAATGACATCGAATCAATAATATTGATAGATTACAGTTCAATAGCATCAGTATAGCAATAAACTGAATGTCAGAAAAATTGGGAAATATAATAATACAAATTTATGAATTTCTAGTCTCTACTGAAGGCCAGGGCAGTTTAGTTTATTGTTATGTTGATGCTATTGAACTGTAATCTATCAACATTAGTGTTGTTCATAACACTAATTCATTCATTCACTATAATTTATATATAACTGTAGAGCCTGATGATGAAGAAGCTATCGGAAAGGGTATTCTTTATTCAGTATCCATCCTTATGTAAATTTTAATGGGCATTTTTAATCAGTTAACATTAGCTATGTAAAATCTCAGCAAACTGATCCGAACTTCATCAGGGAAATTAATCGAAATTAAAATAACAAAGTTTTATTTATGTATAGAAAAAAGACATTTCTTGTTTTTTTTTAAAAAAATTTGTCCAATCATATTGAGGCATAAAACAGGCATTAACAATGGTTCTCTAACCAATGTCAGCTCATGATGAAATCCTGTAACCAACCAATCAAATCCCTACACACCAACACTTGAATATAATAGACAAACAAAATTGCCTAAATTATGATCTAAATTTAACCTCAGACTTACAAATATTAGTGTACCTTTGAATAATTTATCGAAATTAACATAATAGAAGAAGTTCAAACCAGATTGCCGAACGAAACGTTGTGATTACTCATTTCAATTTTGTTGAGATTTTACAAATATAATTCAAACATATGTCTACTTTTCACTCGGCGCCCAATTAATTTAGAACTATTCGATCGTACCTTGTTCACATTTCATATGAATATTAATAATAATGGTTTGAAAAAAAGGGGAAATCAGAGATTAGCTTAAGTTACTGTTGTCACGGTAAGCCCGCATATAAAACAGTAGAACAGGAGTAGCAAGACACTAAAATAAATAAACATCTTTTGGAATTAAGAAGAAAATTATGCTTAACATTGCTCAACGTGTGAATCTTCTTATTGTGTTTCATTCTTTCACTTTCGGGTCGAATATCGAGCTCCAATCTATGAAGTTATCAAGTGTGTACTGCGCAGCAGTTCTCTTCATCCTTCTTTATGGCTCCGAGCAAGACGTGGTCATTTTAAGTTGAAGATATGGAAAGGCTAGCTGTATTTGATCATAGGTGGTTGCGTTCCATACCCCATATGTGTTAGGTGGTATAATAGGGTGAGTAATATTGAAGTTAGGCTTCGGTCGATTGCTAAGTAGGTAAGAGGAAATCAATCGACGAGGTTGTGAAGTAGCTGCATCGATTGATATGGTTAGGACATATGTTGTGCATGCATACCTAACCCTCGCCTTCCTCGACCGACGCGGGATGTTAGCTGACATAGGATGGATCAGGTTGGAAAAGATTTAGTTGTGGTTAAACCAAAACTTGAGATCACTCTATGGAATCTTTGACAGTTTCAGCCAGCCACGTAGAGAGATGTAGACTGGCTTCCTGGTTGGGGTTGTCGGGATGACAAGAACAGATGGCTGGAGACAACTGGTTATCTGGCTCGAAATAGTTCCCAGTGGTGCATATGCATTCACTCGTTATGATTTGTCGTGTCCAATAAACCTTTTTTTCATGTCATTGTTCTTTCTCCTTCACATTTTTGCTTATTATGGTCCTTTTTTATGAATGTTTGTGTGCTTCATGGAGTATGGTGACTCGAACTGTGTTCAAACCAGTCAGTCAGTGTTATTATGCATTGGGTTCCATAGTCTCACACCTAACCTTTCCCTTGTTTTCCAACTTATCACTGGATAATGAACTGGGCGAGCGTTGGGAGTGCGTCAGCTTGGAGCTGAACCCGGACCTCCCAAATGATTAGCAAACAATCTCTCACTGAATCACCGGCAGCACAATGGCTGAAGCTGGGTAGCCTATATTTTTCCCTTTCTATATAGCTCAAATTAGTTGTCAGTGAATTCTTGAATATGCAACGTATTTCGTTATGCTCACACCTAACGCTCTTCCAGTGTAATCTTACTTCTGTCAACACTATTCATGGGACAATTTGACCACCTTTGACTGAGTTATGTGCGTATATAACTGTGTTGTATTGTTTTAGTGTCTATGTATATGGTTTACTTTCTGGTAGTTTTATTTCTAGCATCTAACGTGTGCTATTAGTGATAATTTGCTTTCACTATGTTTTGAATTCACTTTTTTTCTCTCATATTTTTTTTTCATTCCAGCATAATACACTAGAATCACTTTTGTCCAGAGGTGAAAAACTTGATGACTTAGTTGAACGATCCGAGGGGCTTAGTTTACAATCAAAAATGTTTTATACTACAGTAAGCTTTCTATTTTCATTATTATTCACCGTGTATATGTATATGTGTGTTAATTATAGTGATTGATGGTGTGTATTTATCATTCTTAGTTTATGCGTCACTGTCCAATTTTCAGACGATAATGATGTTCAGTCTATATTAATTTATATTACACAATTTTTTCAGTACAAGAGATAACTGTAAAGGGCTTTCTATTGATCATTCAGTGAACCATATTTCTCTGGATGCATCGATGTAGTTTACTGATTGATAAAGTTTATGTGGAAGAATCAGTTATTTCCTCTTCTAGAAGTTAAACGCAACTTTGAAGTTTTCTAAGCAGCAATCAAGATGATAGAGTATCAGTTATCATTGTAAGTATTTTCTCCACATCCATATATGTATATATGAAGTCAGTAATATTATGCATTATTAATAAAGCTGCGTTAGTGCTTCAGCGGTAGGGGTGCTCGCCAACCATCCATGTCGTCGTCCTAGATTTGGTTCTCAGGCAAGCGCACACCCCTACCTCCCTCCCCCCTAACCGATTTTAAACCCGATAAAGAGGAAAGGGTTGGCTGTAAGCCTAGCAACCTCACCCTGAAACTTCAAAGCTCAAGCTTGAAGCCCTATGTTCCACTTGGAAGGCAAAGGTGTTGACTTTCTTCCTGAAGATATGACTCACTCGATTTCCCACACCAATAGTAGGTCCCGAGATCTATTGGCACTCCAACTACTTCAACCTGAGGAAGCTGCATGACATTATCAGTCTTTCACTCAGCCCGGTACTAGTTACTGTACCATAATGATCTTTTTTGTATCTGAGATACACTATACTTTCCATTATGTTAGAAAATTTTCAGGTGTATACACTTACATTTGCATAAGCAGCATTGATATCTGTAATTAAAAATTGTCTCCTAACATACCCCATTTCAAGTAATCAATCACTAACTCAAAAAGTAAGGGAATGACAGTTTATGAAATATCTATAATCTACGTTCTATATATATACACACCCCCTCGAGGATAGTACTATATTATTTTATATTGACAAAAAGACCACATGTATTACTATCACGTCATCATTTTGTCTTTTGTCAATCTCTTTTTTTATATATCTAATTTAACTAATTGCATTTTAAATGTTATTCATTAAAATCCACCTAACTGTGAAATCTCATCTTAAACACAGACTGTATTCATTTGGTGGTGTTGTCAGTTTTTCTTAAAGATATCTAAAACAACTGTAGTTTGACAGCCTACTGTTATGCTGATTTTAGTAGTAATCGAAGTTAAAGTAGAAAAAAAATGGCTGTAATCTACCTCATTGAAGTTCACTCTCCTCAGTGAACTGAGTCAGTTCTCTATTCAACGAGTGGTGCATGGAACTCAGATGCACATAAAGTTTCAGTTTCCCTCCAATCTCTCCATCAGGTGTCTACGCATTTCAAATAAATTGAATTTTGTAAAGAAAAAATTTACTTAACAGTTACCTTGATTATTTTCCCAAATAGCTACAGTTCAGTTTCTTTTTTATTTCTTCACGTTCCCAGTGGAGAAACATGGGGCTTCAAGTTTCTGTAGCAGTGGTGTTTTTTTTATTTTTACAGGATGGGGTTGCTAGCCTCATTCCCAACCTTCTTTCTGTACCAGTCTTATTACTGGCTTAGCGAGGTAAAGGAGTGCGTCAGTGGCTGGGGATCGTACCCTGAACCACATGAAGCGTGATCAGCGAGCATTCCACCGCTCTGCCATCTACTCTACAGTTCATTAGACTGATCTTATTTATTCATGTATGTAGTGATAATGATTTATTAAGTTGGGAAAAAACGCCTCTTACTGGATTGAATTTGGCAGCTACTCATCAATAAAGCAATATAAAGCTTTATCATCGGATATATATTAAGGAGAACAATACAGAATTTATCAATTCTTAGGTTTCACACCACACCAGAGCAGTGATAGTGGCTGTGTGGACTTGTTTCTTTTGCACACGGAGCTTCAGTTATCCTGGGTGAATTGTAATTGCTTCTGCTATTTACAGTATACAGTACATAATTGCTTTTGTCAATTTATCTGGTACCAGATAGATGATAGACGAAGATGCTTCAATCTTAGCTTTATTACCTGTTTGGATTAGGTGATCTAAATATCGAACTGTTGATGGTTTTTACAACAACTTTATTGATATTATTTATACAGTGTTATTGAAAACATTAATATTTTTAATAACACTGAATATCAAGTGTTGCTTGTGCAGGAGTTTGATTTCCTCCCCATCTGATCACGAGCTGACATCAGTTAGGAAACCAATGGAAAATCAACAGAGGGCACCGAACAGTTATTTCATCCCTGTTAGGAATTCTGTGGCAGTACGCACCCACCGGGGCTCCAACCAAAGTCTTTCTGGTTACAGGGGCCAGCTTTTAGGCTACACAACCACTTTTGACTACTCGCGACGTATATATATATACATACTGTTGAATAGTCCCGGACCAGGACGAAACAACCGTTCAACATTGCCTGATTTTTCCAATGCTTCTTCAACTAATTGAGCTTGTATATAGGTAATTGTAGAACCTGGAGAAGCGCAGTTATGAGAAAAAGTCTGTTTTATTCACTAAGTGATCAGTCATATTGTTTTTTAACAAAATAATATTCAGAATAGAGAATGAGTTATAATTTATCGTTTCTCTTTACTATTTAAAGGCAAAGAAGACAAACAAATGCTGCACAATACTCTAAAATCTTAATTAGTCAGTCAGTTATCACTGTTGAATTCTTTCTCCGCATTCATTATTCTATGGAATCAGGTAATCAAACCTACTGATCGATCGATCGATTAATTGATTGATTAACTGCAACCGAATCAAACAATTCCCTTTCATTATTAACACAAGACAGCAGAGTGAATTACACTCTTCATGTAATCTTGTTTGATTGTTCATTTGTTTTGTTTTTTTACTTTATATTCTGATGATGGTGGTTGATATTCTGTCGTTCGTTAGTTGACTATTGTTTTGTCTATTCCTATGTTTTGTTAATCTGATTCTAGTGTGTTTCTCCTATCACATAATTACTATTCTTTTTTAATTATAAATATTACTTTGATGAGTGTGTGTGTGTGTGTGTGTGTCTGTACTCTGATTCTCTTTACAGCAGGAAATATCCACACTTTATTTTCAGTTCACCCTAGCCTCATCAGTCAGTTGAAGTAGTATGTGTGTGTGTGTGTGTGTGTGTTACATGCAAAAGGTAGCCGTATCAACAATTCACTTTATTTTATTTGATGATTCTTTTTCTTTTGTACTGACGATTCTTTTGTTGTGTATCATGTGGATGTCTGTCTCTGCCCTACCAAATATATTTGTATAACTGTGATGATGACTATACTAATTATAGTAATAACAATAATAATAAAAATAATATTAATCACATTGTTATCATCTATAGATTCATTTGTTCATTTTTGACGTTCTCCCATCCCCCACTCCAGCCTTCACCCACACACCTTTGTTACAACACTTTGTATCTTTTGTTCAAAATCTGTACATATTTACTTCAAATTCTTTACGTACCTTTCGTCTATTTTTTGCTCAGTTACAATTCACTCTGTTTGTATTTTGTGCCATTCAGGCACAATGGAGAATAAAGTGATTCGAATAAACAAAGTATATTGAAATCTGTTCATCGTTGAAGTTCTATTGTCTTAATCTCACAATTCATGTGTGCTGATGTGTAAATGTTCATACTATTACACATTGCATTCATTCATAAATGTCGTAGTTCCTTGTCCGCTCACTTTCTTGTCTTACAAATAGTCTTGACAATGTTCATGAGTACGACAGTCTTATTTGATGCCCGAAATGTAACCTCTGACATATGGACTTGGCCTTCAGTGGGATATAGCATCATGGTGTTCCCAAGAATATTCACCAGTGTCAGATAGAAGTATGGTCAGTTGACTTTCGGAGCCATGTTTTTAACCTCAAGGATATCCATTCATCATTACCCAGTAAGTAGGATGGGGGAGAGTTTGAACTTTCTGGAAGCGAAAACAATGAAATGCCTTATCATTTTTAGTGAACTGGTTAGCTATTATCGATGATTCACTCCCAACTGTGCTGATTTAGCTCAACGGTCGACAGATCTTAGTCGAGAGAGGATAGCAAGTGTGTAGATTTCGATGGGCCGGCTGTAAACACTTTTGGTGAAGCTCAAAAATCAACTGCAATTGCCGCCTTAGTAAAGGCGCCAACATTATAACCGCTGTTGTTTTACAACAGTCAATGGAGACCACCTAGCCTTTCTTCCAGGTGGCAACAGACAACATAAACAAAGTACAGCACCTTCGGAAGAGAACCTTTCGTCATATTAGTGTTCCCTCTTTTGATGTAGGTACTGGTAACGAATACTTCATGCACTGTTCAACTGATGTTATCATTATCAATACTATGAATCATAAGGACATTAAATTTCATGGTTTTAATACTCTTGATGTACTTAAAAGTCTCCAATCTCTAGTACCTTCCCAAAACCCTGATGGTATACCAGCCGTTGTCCTCAAAAGATGTTCAGATATCTTATATTATCCTTTTGAGAACGTTTTCAGTGCTTCTTTTTCCAGTAATGTCACGCCCATCGTATGGAAAGATATTAAAATTATTTCGATACTTAAATCATCTGCTAGTAGGGATGTTAAATTTAGACCTATTGCAATTAATTTTTTGAAATTCATGGAAAAACCACTTCTACATAACCTTGAACCTTCCTTGAAAAGTTTTAATGACAGTTTGCATATAAATAGGAGAAGATGCTGCCGCTGCCTCACGTCATCATATTGTTTCCTGTCTGGATAAATTAGTTAAATGTGTTAGATGTGCTTTCCTCGACTACACATCCGCCTTTGGCTGTGTATCCAGATGTACTTTGTTAAATAAACTTCCCTTGACGTAAAGTAAGTCTTGGGCTGAAAACTCGTTGCGTTCTTATTTCTCTAACGGAATGCAGTGTAATATATACAAAGGTAAATCTTTCTCTTCATTGCTTATTGAAACCAAGGTGCTGTTCTCTCTGTTACTTTTGCTTTCTTCTTGAACGAAATGCATCTATCGGGTAAAAGCAGCTTTGTTAAATATGCTAATGATCTCACTGTCTGGTTACTAGGTATTTCCCGATCTGATTGTTCTAAACTGCATAGCATTTTGCCGGACATCAGTCAGTATTATTATCATTATTATCATATCCTTTCATTCCTAGAGGAACATAGGGCTTCAGCTGCGCACCTCCAGTGCCTTCTGTTTTCTGCCAACTTTTCACCCCGCTCCAGGTCTGTCCACGTGCTTTCATCTCCTCCTCGCATGACCTCCTCCAAGTCACTTACACTGACGACCAACTCGCCGCCTCCCTTTCGGGTTCCACTCGAGCAATGGCTTGTCTAGTGATGTCACTTGATGGTATGTTTCCTCAGAGTATGGCTAATCTATCTCCATTTCCTCCTGCCTATTTGTTTCACAATCGGTTCCTGGTTGGAATGTTCGCTCATTGCCAGAGATCCCTGTTGCTGATCTTTTCTGGCCGGCCATCTGATCTTGAGTATTGAGCGAAGACAACAGTTGGTGAATGTCTGGAGTTTGTTTGAGGTGCTCTTTATGACTCGCCAAGTCTCTGATCCGTATAGTAGCACTGACTCTACATTGGAGTTGAAAATCCGGATCTTATATTTGATGGTGAGTGCTGTTGACTTCCACACAGACTTAAGAGTAGTGAAAGCTTGTCTTGCTTTTCCGATTCTGGCTTTGATATCTTCGTCAGTTCCGCCCGCCTGTAGTTGAAACGATGCTTCCCATGTAGGTAGGTAAAGGAGGCTGTTTCTTTCAGGTTCCTCCCATTTATGCTGGCTGATTGTTGTCCATTGTCTGTTGTTGTTGCTGTTGGTGTTGGCCAGGAATCTTCATCACCTCTGTTTTATCTATGTTCACTTGAAGTCCTATCTTCTCTGGATGCTTCTTGTGCCAACTTGTTACTTTTCACTTGCATATCTTCCAGTTTGTGGGAAATCAGACATATATCATCGGCGAAGTCCAGATCCTCCAAGTTTCTTGAGTGAGTCCATTTTATGCCTGTTCCCTCGTTGGTTTCCGTTGTCTGTCGCATTATCCAATCTACTGCAATCAGGAGAACCATTGGTGATAGTAGATAGCCAGCCTTGTCTCACTCCCGTCCTCACTTTGAAGGCTTCCGTAAGTTTCCCGTTGTGGATTACTTGGCATGCAGAGTTGTCGTATAACTGTTGGATGAGATGTATAATTGTCGATGGGACCCCGTAGTAGCGAAGTAGTTGCTAAATGACCTCTCGATCGACGCTGTGGAAGGCCCTTTCAAAATCGATGATGTTGAGATAGAGGTGACTGCCATTTCAAGCTTTGTTCAATCATGATCCGTAGAGTGGCGATTTGGTCAGTACATGATTTGTTTCTCCTGAATCCGGCTTGCTCCGGTGGAAGTTTTACATCTAAGGCTTGTTTGATACTCTCCAGGATGATGCGGCTTAGTATTTTCCTAGGAATTCACACAAGCATAATTCCGCGCCAGTTTTTACATTGACTTAAGTCTCCATTCTTTGGCAGTTTGAATAAGTTGTCAATAGAGTTGAAGATTGAACGATCAATTCTTGGTTGTTTGCTCAAACCAACTTCCCCGATTTTCGCGGAGGCATCAATACGACAGTCATCGTCTCATCGGTCGCTGTTCAGAAAGAAGAGTGAAACATCGTCAGAAGTAATACAGAGATTTATTATTGTAATATTTGTTTTCAGACCTTAGTTCGCTTATTCCTTTTATATGTTGGTGTAACAATAAACAAATATCACGCGGCAGATCGGTGTTTTGGTTTTTGCGTCCGTTATAACTAAGCGTTTCCGAAATCTTAGAAGAACAGCGTGGGCCCGAGTGCAGCGAGAGCTGGGCATTAACGGTTTACGAGACGTGACTGACAGTTTCTGACGGTGAAGTCAGTTCTGACGGCGGATGTGATGGATTCAGATAAATGGTGACAGTTTGGATAGTCACCGTTCATCTTTCCTGGTGCCGGTCAAGTCCTCTTTGAACAAGCAATATCTGGAACTTTTTTGGAATTGGGTCAAGTTCAACAATGCCTGGGTCAAAGAAGGGACAGAGTGTCTTGGATGCAAACAGGAAAGTAAGTCATGGTGACTTGTCTGTTAATTGTAACGATGTGTCTGATGTTAAGTATGACATGGTTGATGTTACTGTTTCGCCGTTCAGGGATAATAGGAACATCAAACTCCCTAAATTAGAACCACGGTGTTTTGATGGAAACCCGGCTGATTATTTACAATTTGTAAAGGAGTTTGAGATCATGTTGAGTGGTTTTTTATTAAATGATGAATTGAAGTTAATGTATTTGATGAGATATTGCACTGGAGATGCTGCAAGAGCTATACAGTGCTGTAAGTTTATGAAGCCAAAAGAGGGCTACGATGAGGCTATGAGCATATTACGTCAAAGGTTTGGAAGACCTTCGATGATTGCAGGGAAATTATTCGAGGCTGTTAAGGGTAATGGTGGTCAATTACAGGATGACTCCCAGGCACTCACTGAGTTTTTAGATAATTTGCTAATTTACAAGAATGGAATGATTTCGATGAATCGCATGAGTGACCTCAACTCGAGTTTTATACTAGAAGTAATAGCAAGACGTCTACCTACTCGACTGCAAAGGAAGTGGGTGAAGATAAGCTCCCGTATGGAGGATGAGGGTATCGAGCCAAAGTTTGATGATATCCTGAAACTGGTAAAAGATAGCGTCAATCAATCTATGAGCAAGTTTTCCAGTCTATTAGATCTCACCCCTAGAATAGAGCAGTCTGAGGGTAAAAAGCACTCATTGATGACGAATAGGCCTCAGAGAGGTGGATATCGAGAAGGCACCATGATGTCTAGTAATGCATATAAACTTAGTGAGTGCAACAGGTTTCGTAGTACATCCTCAACAGATAAGTTGCAAGATGCAAGACAAACACGGTTGTGTTTTACACGTTTGCAAGAGGTGCATACAAAGGTGAACTGTGAACCAGTGAGCAAGTTCAGTGATAAGCTAAATGTAAACTCCAGGCCTGACTCCGAATTGTGTGACGATAACGGTGCGGTGAAGAAGTCTGTAGTTGCAACTGGTAAGCCATTGTTGAATAGAGTGTCACAGAATAGAGTTGCTGCTTCAGAGTCCAGTTCTGACTCCACAAGTTTACAAGGTATTACTAGTCAGAGTGAAGGTATAAAACCTTTAGAGATTTGTGAGGAGGAACCAAAATTATTTACTTCTGTTATTAAAGAGTTTGAAAATGATGAACTTGACGGTAAATTGAATATTTGTGATAATGATCATGATAGTGCAGATTTGTCTTTGGTTGATCATGATGAGATGAGGGATATGCCTACTACTGCTAAGTTGAACAAAGGTTCTGTACAACTTGAACGTGAAGTAGAAATAAATGCAGATGCAGTTGCAGAAGGCATGCATACTTGTGAGACCGTCAGTGTGATTGATCAGCATGTAGCCCACCTATCATCAGATGCCAGTGCTAAACCTGAGCTGATAGTAAAAGACAGCAGTGGTGGTGGTCTTGCAGGTAGACAACTATCTGAAAGCCGAACAACAACAGCTTCTGATCCACCGCTAACTTCATCAACTGGTATCAATCAGTCGTCGTTGTTGTTGTCATCCACAATGAAACAAACGCCCATCAACTCAAGTATCTTGTGCAATGACTATGATAGTATTGGTGCATTTGAAAAGACGAAAGATATTGGTCAGTTTAGTGAGGATAAGCCAAGTGTAAAGGAGAGAGTAATTGTTAAATTGACTTGCACGAATAAAGGCATTTCTAGTTTCAAGTTACTATTTGAATGTTATTATCTTTGGTGTAAATTACTCTGTTTCTATACTTGGTTGATGAGATATGTCGTGTGTTTGTTGGTCATCTATATTCTACGATACAATGACATGGGCGTGTTACCGTTCAGATTTGAGGATATAGCTCATAGAAGGAAGTTAGCAAATGAACTCTGCGACGATTTTCCAACCTAGGGCGTCAACCTGAGAAGGGTTGTAGGCGTACTGCTGTAAGTCCTACAGTTCTTCAAAGGGTAGCGCATCAATGAGCAGTCCAATGTGCTTGGTGATGATCTTGTACATATGTTCATATTGTATATACTGAATTGATATCATCTGTCATCTAGCTGTTGGTAATTCTGTTTGTGTCCGGACGACTTCCACTTGGATCATCAACCTGAGAAGGAATGTAGGCGTACTGCTGTAAGTCCTACAGTTCTTCAAGGGTAGTTTGTCGTGCTAGAATCCACAACATTTGATGTGTTGATTGTACATATGTTTGTGTTAAATAATTGTGTGAGTTCCAATTATTGTAATTGTTGGTTAATCTTGTTTGTGTCCGGACATTCCACAACTTACAATCGTCAACCTGTGAAGAGTTGTAGGCGTACTGGTGTAAGTCCTGCAATTCTTCAAAGGAATTCCATCAAGACATGATCCGCGAGTTTGTGTGTACTGTTTGTTTATATGTGTGGTGTGTCTTCTCAATTTGTGATTTTGGATTCATTGTGTTTACTCGTTGTTTTCGTACCTTGTTTTTATTGCGTAATTTTGTTAAAATTTTCGTCGTGATTACTTCTGAAGTTGTTTCGAATCTTCTACATCCGTGAATGAATTGATTGATGTTAGAGACAGCAGATGGGTCGTATACGCCGGGGAGGCTATTGCTGAGAATGAAATGCACACGGAGATAATTGTTAGCTGCGGTCCAACACGCCGGGGAGAAAGAGTGTAAACGACTGAGGCTCGCATACGTCACCGTTACTAGAACTGAGGCAGAATGAGTGACAAGCGATTGCAGTGGTAATTGGTAGTGAGTAGATAAGAGGATGTGCGTAGAGTATCGTGAGGTGCTGGTATGGTCACGTTGCATTCTGCAAGAGTCATTCTAGCAAGTGGCGATTGTGTTGCAAGAGGATGTCTTTAACTTGAAGGCGCAGGTCGTCATTGATGTGTGAGATTGTGCTGTGGGTATGCTTGTGGTGTGTTGGCTTTTCTGTTTGTTTTCCATTTCAGCTCTGTCCGTGTGACCCAGGTTCTCGCAATGGCATCCAAGTCAACGTGCATTGGTCGTGAAGGAAAAAAGGGTTGGATCCCTTTTTTGCCGGGGAGTGTCAATGTAGTTGAAGATTGAACGATCAATTCTTGGTTGTTTGCTCAAACTCAACTTCCCCGATTTTCGCGGAGGCATCAATACGACAGTCATCGTCTCATCGGTCGCTGTTCAGAAAGAAGAGTGAAACATCGTCAGAAGTAATACAGAGATTTATTATTGTAATATTTGTTTTCAGACCTTAGTTCGCTTATTCCTTTTATATGTTGGTGTAACAATAAACAAATATCACGCGGCAGATCGGTGTTTTGGTTTTTGCGTCCGTTATAACTAAGCGTTTCCGAAATCTTCGAAGAACAGCGTGGGCCCGAGCGCAGCGAGAGCTGGGCATTAACGGTTTATGAGACGTGATTGACATAAGTATCCTTTCTTTCAATCCTCAGGTACTTTCCACTCTTTCCACACCTTCTCCAGTAGTGGTGTCATCAAGCCCGCTGTTGTCTCTGGGTCCATTTTCAATGCTTCTGTTGGGATTCTATGTGTTCCTGCTGCTTTTCCAGCTTTTAGCATCTTGATTGCATTCAGGACTTCTGATTTCGTCGAGGGGTCGATTTTCACTGGTAATCCTGCTTCTGTTGTTGGGATTGTTGGGCGCGTTTTGTGCGTCGGTGGCACAGTGGTTAGGACTCTCGCCGACCATGCACATGGTCCGGGGTTCGAGCCCACGCCGACGCACACCTGATATCTATGGTCGGCCTGCAAAATTTGGGCTACCGATATCCACGCTGAAAATTCCACACTTGTACCAAAAATACGGTGTGGAATCAAGCTGTAATCAAAAATAAAAAAAAAATTAAAAAACAATTTCACGCGGGAATCATAAATGATTGCGTTAGTTGAGGAAGGTAAGTAGCATTTCCGTACAGGTGCTGACGTATTACATAAGAGATGCGGAATAAACAATAATTATCAGTAAATCATTCAGAAAGAGTTTTAAAGTCTATTAAACTTTAAATTTACCTGTAAGTACATCATATTTGTGACATTTCCAGTTGTTTATAAGACCCACTTTGAACTTGTCAGCAGATTTTATAATACCGATGATCCCGTTATTCACCAGATGAGCTAGCAATATCACGAATAAGTAGAGAAAGCAGTATGTTTGAAAAGAGAAGAAGACACAAGAAAACCAGCAGACAGGTGCAGAAGTATTTAAAAGGTGTTAATAATTCAAAATATATAACAGGCATGGGGTTCATCGTTTTTTATTGTTTTTTTTTCAGGAAATATTATTTTCCCGATATTTTACAGTCTATTCTGCGAACAATTAGTTTAAAGTGAAAGACAGGCGATAATTTCACCTACTTACGAGGTTTAAAAGGAATTAAACACAAAAGTCAGAGTGCGTGAGCTATGTAAAAGAAAAGTGAGGGCCTAGTAATATATGTTTTTCTGAAGTATACAGTTCGGTGTCCTTCTGAAGTAGCGGACTCATACCATTTACTTTCATTCGGGAGTTTGCGTTTAAACTTCGGCTCTAGGCAATTTTCAACTTCTATTTCTTTTTTCATTATATTTTTTAGTTTTTACTTTTTTATTTATTCTCATTTTGCAGAAGCCATCCGAACTCAGAAGCCTTAGCAATAGAGTGCTGTCCCACAGATAAGGGTGGTTCACATATGTCCCCACCATCATATCCGCTGACTAGCAGTCACCACCCTCCCACCTTTTTTGTGCAAGGCCCTGCCGGAATGCTTCATTTTTTTAAATTATTTATTTTTTTTTAAATTTCTGTTGCAAAATGCCACAAACTTTTTGTTTGTCCAAATATTTATTCGTCGACTTACTCAAATTTATGGTACGAATGACTACTTTCAGAAGAACATCATGTATGTTTCATCTTTTACAGCATTTTGAAGACGAAAAATGTAAGAAAGAAAGGCTATCTGAGACTTCATTTTAGATATAAACAAATGTAGTTTAGAAAATCAGGGAATAATCGTGCAGCATTGAGCAGATAAGTAGTGGCAAGTTATAATATGTTGTTCTAGAAAATTTGAACATACAGGATTATAGTAATAGAATAGTAAGATAAGATTCATTTTAGATATAAACAAAAACTACTCAAAAAGGAGTATATTATAATGCGAAATATGTTAAAGGTGGGCTGCGTCTAAAAAGAAACTCGTTAATATTGTACTTACCATCTTCGCAAACAACACTTAGGAAAACATGAGCTAATACTGACTTAATGCGCTGGCTAACCTCTCCTAATGACACGCCAACAACAACACCACCGGTACGCAAAGACCAGAGAAAAGACTGGATGTCGATAAGAAAGCCTTTACTGTCTCAAACAACAGACAGAATGCTAGACACGAACTCTGTATATGTACAGTTAGAATGACCTTGGAAATGCAGTGATTCAGTGGTGTATTAAGAGTATTAGCACACAATAAGAATCCAGCCCTCTAAACAGAAAGAAGCACAAGTGGCTCACGCCAGTGCGCGATAACTCCCTAAAATAGCTATTTCAAGGTTTTATGCAAAAAAGGTGTATATAACACCTCCCTCTTAAAAGAAGTAGGGAATTGTACGATAACACTTAGCACTCCTTTGATTTTCGGTTGACTTGAGATCGTACGGACTGAGGACTCCTGCTACTGGATAGTCTCCTTGGTAGCAGGCTGTCAATGTAGTTGGAGATTGAACGATCAATTCTTGGTTGTTTGCTCAAACCAACTTCCCCGATTTTCGCGGAGGCATCAATACGACAGTCATCGTCTCATCGGTCGCTGTTCAGAAAGAAGTCAGCAGAAAACCGTCAGAAGTAATATTGTGATTTATTATCGTAATATTTGTTCACAGACCTTAGTTGTAACATTTTTTATATGTTGGTGTTACAATAAAGAATCCTCGAGTCGCCAATTGGTGTTTTGGTTTTTGCGTCCGTTATTACTAAGCGTTTCTGAGAAACTTCAAGAAACAGCGTGAGTCCGAGTGCAGCCAGAGCTGGGCATTAACGGTTTACGAGACGTGACTGACAGTTTCTGACGGTGAAGTCAGTGTCTGACGGCGGAAATATTTTGTGATGGATTCAGATAAATGGTGACAGTTTGGATAGTCACCGTTCATCTTTCCTGGTGCCGGTCAAGTCCTCTTTGAACAAGCAATATCTGGAACTTTTTTGGAATTGGGTCAAGTTCAACAATGCCTGGGTCAAAGAAGGGACAGAGTGTCTTGGATGCAAACAGGAAAGTAAGTCATGGTGACTTGTCTGTTAATTGTAACGATGTGTCTGATGTTAAGTATGACATGGTTGATGTTACTGTTTCGCCGTTCAGGGATAATAGGAACATCAAACTCCCTAAATTAGAACCACGGTGTTTCGATGGAAACCCGGCTGATTATTTACAATTTGTAAAGGAGTTTGAGATCATGTTGAGTGGTTTTTTATTAAATGATGAATTGAAGTTAATGTATTTGATGAGATATTGCACTGGAGATGCTGCAAGAGCTATACAGTGCTGTAAGTTTATGAAGCCAAAAGAGGGCTACGATGAGGCTATGAGCATATTACGTCAAAGGTTTGGAAGACCTTCGATGATTGCAGGGAAATTATTCGACGCTGTTAAGGGTAATGGTGGTCAATTACAGGATGACTCCCAGGCACTCACTGAGTTTTTAGATAATTTGCTAATTTACAAGAATGGAATGATTTCGATGAATTGCATGAGTGACCTCAACTCGAGTTTTATACTAGAAGTAATAGCAAGACGTCTACCTACTCGACTGCAAAGGAAGTGGGTGAAGATAAGCTCCCGTATGGAGGATGAGGGTATCGAGCCAAAGTTTGATGATATCCTGAAACTGGTGAAAGATAGCGTCAATCAATCTATGAGCAAGTTTTCCAGTCTATTAGATCTCACCCCTAGA